AATAAAAAATATTTCTATGTTACTAACTAAATATAGCCAAAACTAAGTTATACAAAATTGGCTTCATTCAAAATGGCTAAAACAAAATTTACAAATCCGTTCTTTAATAATAATAAGTTAATATATATAGATGCGCATAAATACTATAACTTATTGTCGTCATTAGGAAAGTAAACACTTTCATTTTATTAAAAAAAAAAAGAGAAAATAGAAAAACAAAGTTTTAATATATTAAGAACTCGGCAATATTTTATGTCTTTAGCTAAATGGCAATAATAAAAAAAAACACCATAAATGCTGTACAATCATATTTAAGTATGATTGATTATATTTTGATATTTTTTATAGACCGATGACTTTTGAAAAATACTTTTTTATGTTTGACTTTTATTTTTAAACGAGCCAATAAAAATACATCCGCCGAAATTATCGATTAATGCGTACAGTATAAAATAAACTTACGAAAATATTTTAATAAAGGTTGTATTGATTTTTAATAATGTCTGTTTCTAAGCCATTAATAAAAAGTGTTTTGTTCGATAACAATAGAAAAGTAATTGAGAACTTGGTATTTTAAATAATTTATAGATATTTCTTAGATGAAAATTAGGATAAAAATATAAACTAGCAGAGATAGTTTTTTTAGTTACTAAAATATTGAAGACAAATATCTAAAAAAACAGTAGTTTATTTTGGACAAAGTCCAATTATTAGATGTATGCCAACAAAATATTCAATTCACTAAGTGTTCATTAACAAAATAATTGTCGCAGCAGTATAATTACTGTGAGAAAAATAATTAATTATAAAAAGCTTAAGTACAGGCTTTAATTAAATAAGCTATATTTTTCGGTTTTATTGCTTTTGTAGTAGTACGCATCGAGCATATTAAAGGCTTTAAAAGAACCGCAAAAGGAAATAGGCTTTTTTAGCTTTGATATTATATCAGTTTTAAACTTTAAAAAAACTTTTCCATTAATTGTATTTATAGAATATCAATTACAGAAATAAATAGTGAAAACTAACACTTTATCCAACAAAATGTTTTTTTTTAATTATAAAAAAGTTATTCATTAAAGAAAACTATAACACGTCAATTAATGTTATACTGTAGATGATACTCCTACACAAACAACAAAATTTATTTTAATTCGAAAATGTAATTAGAACGTAACAGGTGTATTATTTAGCATTTAATTTTGGCCTTATACCATTACTGTCAACAAAAATATATTAACACATTTTTAGCAAAATAATTTTTTCAATAGAGAATTTTATATTTACCAACAAAAAAGCCAATGATAAAAAAAAACCAGCACAGGGGGGTCGCAGCACAGTTGTGACGTGGTATAGTTTGATCAAGTATAATGATATCTGACAGTGATTAAAATCACTATCAAAAATAAAACGCTTCGATGCAAATCTTTAGATAGTGCTTAATTTAAAAAAAATTGGTGTTTTATTCCAAAAGCTACTTGATCTGCTGGTTCCTTATTAATATCTCGATAAAGATAAAGTATGTCAAATGAAAAAGGGTTTATTAAAAAATATTATTTCTCATAAAAAAATTGTGTGGATCCATAAACTTTTCAATAAGTTATAGCATTATAAAGTTAAATATTATATAAATAATAAAATCGAGAATTTTCACACGAAAATAGCATTCGGTAGCCATTTTCGCCGTGAAGACAAGTCCAGAGGTCAAATTTTTTTTTTTCAAATTAAAGTATATTACATTAGCTTTAATTTAAGATATATATAAAAGTGTCAGACCTTCCGGAACATTTTCAAAAGTTATGTTGAAAAAGTAAATTTTTTGTGAAAAAGTTATCATTTTAAATCCCCCCCTGTGGGCAGAAAAAAAGTCAAATTTACAAAAAAAATATACCAAATAATAGGCAANCAGAAAAAAAGTCAAAATTACAAAAAAAATATACCAAATAATAGGCAAAGACATCAAGCATCTATATAAAAAAAAATTATATTGATATGTTCATTTTTGAAAAAGTTACGGCAGTTTTTAGTAAAAAAAATTGAAAAAATTTCGAAAATTAGCGATTTTTAAATTTGTAATTTTTTTGGAGGTTTCCCCCATTTACGGGGAACGAGGGAAATTTTTTCAATTTTGAAGGGTAATGTCTTCGACTAGATACGATTTGTGATCTTTTGACGTATCGTTGAAAGAAATCCGTTCGGTGAGAGCTGAGAAAAAGTGGTAACAAAAAAAAAAAAAAAAAAAAAACACATCATAGTAAAACCAATACCTTCTCAGCTTCGCATCGAAGCTAAAAAAGACAAAATTTTATCGCGTGCGATTCATGAATGTTAGAAAATATTAACTGAAACTATTTAATTATTATAAAACGGAGCACCGTTGAATCAATCAATCAATAAAATATAACTTTAGTTGATAGGAACATAAGTCTATCAATTAAATAACTCATCACAAACTTAATTTTTTTTAATTCTGAATTTTATAAGAAAAATAACCAGCTATTGTTAAACTTAAGTTTAACTTTTGAATTATGAGTAGTTTCAAATATCATGAAAATGAGATAAAAACTGAATAAGTTTAATGGGATAGCATAATTTAGTTTAACGCATGAAGTAACGCGAGATAATTTGTGTGCAAGCAAGTAATACTATCAAAGAGGAGTAAACTCAGAACTTTTTACTATACAACTTTGTATATTAATAAACCATTTCCGCTAAATAATTTTCTGGAAGTGAATGAAAATTGGCACACAAAATATTATTGAATTAACAGAAATTCCCATTTAAATATCATTGCAAGTTGAACAAATATATTTGTTTTTAAGAATTTCTGGTATACTTTAGAATTATAGGTAACTAATTAATATTTACAAATGGGTATGGTATAACAAGTGGCGTATTGAGAGCTATAGAACACCGGGGTAGTAGTTGGTATTTGATGCCTTTCTAAAATTTATTGAGCAAAAACAAATTCAGCATACTCTAAAAAAAAATGTCCAGCTACACCACTGCCCTCAGATAAATCGCTTATTAAAAAACTTAGAACATTTACAAACGTAAGAACACAAATTATAAATAACATTACATACATTTTTACCAGAGTTTTATCGTGTTCATCGCCTAAGACGCCTTTGACAGTTAAATGGGTGCTCTTTTTGTTGCGCCCAGGGGAAACTACACCAGGTAGTGCCTTACGTAGATATGCCACACAGTGTGACTTAGCGCTGATGTTTAACTGCGTTATTTGACGTTAGTTCCCGTATGTTCATTAAGTATGGAACTTTAACAATGACATACAACTTTGCACCCATACTGTTCTCTCGCCCGTAATGAGGTTGCGTCACACCCAAAGAAAAACCTCAATCAAAATTGAAAGAGAAATTTTATCAAGGGTTTATGATAATGTTTTATTAATACGAACAAAATAACTATTCTTATAAATAATTATTGTTCAAGACAAGAAAAAAAAATATCATATTGATAAATATATCATTGATTCAATAGTAATGATATATTTATCAAATTGAACAATGAATTTATTATATAGATCGAGGTTTTTCTCTGGGTGCAGATCGACAGAAATTCCGCCAAAGCGTCAAGTTAACCAGACCACAAATAATTGATACATGATGATGAAGAATTAATAGTTACAAAAGTTGATGATTTAGATATTTAGTTGATATGTATTTCAAGTAAAATTGATCTTTTAACTATAATTTCTAAAATAATTCATTAATTTTGTTGCAACGCAATTTTTTAAAGCCTAAAGGAAAATAAGAATAATTTTTGCTCCTAATAATTTCAATAGCTAATTAACCCAAAATTATTCTATTTAATAACATATTTTAATCCTAAAGCGTGGGGTTTGTTTTTTCTTGGCTAAGTCAGCCGTAGAACATGACGTCTTTAAATTTTAAATTTAACATCACCAACAGCAATTTTGTTGTTTTATTTGTGTTTGAAAAAACTTACATTAACTACTTGTATAAAAATATGAAGATAAATAAAAAAATATAGTACGCAGCAATACTGCTGAATACAACGAACATAAGTAAGATATGTCAAATTGATTATACTTTAATTTAATGAATAAATTAAAGAGCAATATAGATAAATTTTTGCGAAAATCTTAATCGAGAAAAATCGATGATTTTCAATAGTTTCTTTAGAAATAAACTTAAGCAAGCAATTCGATGAAACGCCACAAATAAATTGATTCGCATTATACATAATAACTTAAAGTGAAGTGTTTAAAATAAAATCCATTACACTCAAGTGCACGCTCTTGTGTTGTATAATTTTGTTTTTTATCATCTCATCGCCCACATTCATTTTTTGTATTGAATAAGCTAAAGAAATATTCTGTGGGTCCTGGGGTAGCAGTCAAAGGATTACCTAAGCTTTGTAAGACAGATTTTGGGTAAAAAAAAGTCTTTGCTTTTGTATCTACGGATATTTAGAGAGATAAATAGCCATTGTTACTCTCGTAGCTATTGTAAGAATGGCGGAAGATCAATATGCGCGTCAATGGAAAGGACAAATGGACGTTATTTATACATTTATGCTCAATAGATAATACAACAAAGAAATGCCTTGAAAATTTTGATTCAATATTTAAATATATAGAATTGATCGTGCAGATCGTGTCTAAATAAAAATAATTTTCCATTAATTATCACAAATAAAGTATAAATTGTATGACGTTTAGAAAACTGGTGAGATTTTAGAGACCATCAAATTTTAAATAACTCATGATTTTCATGACTGTTTATGAAAGCTTTTCATGCAACATATAAATATTTATTAGTTATGTTACATTAAGTGAGAAATCAAGAACATTTGCTATTGTGCAGCCTTCAACATGACTTTTTACGAGTTATCACCTTACTATTTAATAAACTAAATAAAATTGAACAATAAAATTAATTTAATCAAACGTTTCTAATATAACTTAAATGAATTCTTATTATGGCACATACTTGTAAAATATAAGTAAATTTACTCACCATATCTAGATAAGTGTTCGTCATTGGCACAAGGAATATTTCCATTTGGTTCAATTCTATCTAGGAACTCATCAGAGTAACCATTGAATGACAGTTTGTTAGGAAGAGCATCTCGAGATGTTCTATTACGATCTGGATCTTCTTTGGAAATAGCTGTAAAAATAAAAAAATAATAGAAAATATGTATTTCAATTTTTATGGCGTATTCAGTACTATCTCATAACGTCTTAGGTTTTTTGAATTGCAAAATAAAAATATTCTATCTCTAAATCGTAAAAATGTTCGTAGACTCAAACTAAGAGTACTAATAAAAATTGACTTCAGTTCGATATGACTAAAAAGAAATGTTCTTTTACATGGTGCGAATTCTAGAGGATTTACATCCTTATTTAAAATCTGTAATTTTGTAAAAGGTTGATGTAGTATTATGGAAAAAATGTACGGCTATAGAAATCACATATAATATAAGTTTTTAAAATATAAGTTTCATACATTATAAAGTATAAATCAAAAAGCATACATTCAAGCAAGACGTGTAAAATTAAAAGTTTCAATAATCTAGAGAGATCAGAACCACGAAGGAAAGGCGCGTATAGAGAAAATTATACAAAAAACTCACTAGGAAAATACTTAAAAAATGAACCTATTTATTTTAATAAATATATTACTTACAATTATAATAGTAAATTATGTATGCGTTTATTAATCTAACATATTTAATTTATGATTAATACATGAATCTAAGGTTAACTAAAGTAAGAACAAAATATTTACAGTTAATAATATTTAAGTTATCATATACTTTTTGTATATGATATATAAAAGAAATAAAATTAACATAAAAATAAAATAAATATTTATAAGATAATAATCACTGTTAACTATATTTCAAGTCACACAAAAAATTTTCTGTGCAAAATTTTTTTTTGATATTTACATGAAATAATGAATACACTACACCACATAGATTAAATTATGTAAAAATCTTGTTCAACATCTCATCGATAAGATTATTCAAATAAAATACTTAAAATAATAAGGACAAATATCAAAATACGTCACACTCGTTTTGTTTGATTTTATTTGAAGAAAATCGCGAAGAATCAATATTTCAATGGCTCTACGCTGCAACTTAAAACTATTACAATTATTTGTCATCAAAATTATACACTTAATCACAATTTTATCTCGTATTGATTATGAGGTTAAAGTGTGATTTTATATAAACGTATCGATTTGTCCTTATAAAATGATAAATATTTAATGGGTTTATTATCTTATGAAACGGGAAAAATGTATTCATAAGATTATTAAAAATATTATGTTTTCTTAGGTGTTTTGCATTCATATTTTAACTAATTTTATCTATAATGAAGATAAAATAATAAGCAAATTATTTTAGGGGAAAATAGTTGTATTTTATTTTTGTTTTTGGAATAAAAGAAATCCAATACAATTTACTACTTTTAGAGTAATAAAAGTAGAGGATTTACAGTTGTGTTTTAATAGTTACTATTGTTTATATCATGTTTATGGATAAAATAGTAAATATATGTGTAAAAGCATTTTCCAGAATGTCATAAAACTTTGGTGTTAAAATGAAAAACTGTTATCATTAGTCATTCTTAGATAAAGAATATATCCGTAAATGATTACGTTAAATTTTGTTAAGTTCAATTGATAAAAGGTAAAGATTTTTTTATTCTCTATAGGAATAAATAATCGTAAAATAAAACAGTAAATATTTAAACAATTTTTAGAATTATTAGATAATATTTAATCAAAAGAATAGAATTTTGCGTTTTTATATAATAATATGATAATAATAAATAAAATACTAAGTCTAGTCCACAAAGATTACTATATTAAATTTGTAAATTAGTTCATGGAATGAACTTAATCATAAAACTTAGTAAAAAGGATTCCAATTACTTAATTGCCTTCCAATTAACTCCAACTGCATTATTAATCTAAGACGAAAACTATTCACAGTTAACTTAGTATTAATAAGATGAAAATAATTATTTCAACTTAATCTGCATTAAATTGAATGAGACGTTCAGTGCAACACTGAAACTATGCAGACTTATAAACTTTTAAATATCAATTAAAATTCATTACACATCAAAGCATAAAATACTATTCTGAATGAGAATTCCTTAGTTTAAACACGATTGTTCATACTGTTCAAGATTAACATAATCTAATTAAAAAAGTACTTTTAACTTCAGTGACTTAATTATGAAATTTAAAATCTGTAATGTTATCAATGCAGTTTATTATTTATTTTAAATTTATAAATTGAAAAATGCATTTTTTTACTAAAATAGTTTACTTTAAATGTATGGTACTATAGCAAAATAGTAGCTTTAAATGAATATTAGAACAATGCGTAATCAACATCAATTTTATTTTATTATAAAAAGAGTGCAATCATTGTAGTTTGGATTGTATTTCACCAAAAAAACGAATGTTAATTAAATAATAAATCCAATTCAACTTTTTCACAAAATGAGTTTTTCCTTAGGATAGGCATTAGTAAAGAATACCATATTATACCATTACATATTCATCCTTTATATATATAAAGAATACTTTTCTCTCCAGTTTGTTGACTAGTCAACAGCACCTCCTGCCATCCGATTCCACATTAATTTCTTATACACATTAATAGTTGTAAAAACGCATTCACAATAATATTCGAATAGCAGAGATCACTATATACGAAATAGAATAGATAAAATAAGATCAGAAACAACAAAATATAACATAAGCATAATAAGAACTGGAAATCTTTTGTATTGATCATACGATTTAAGAAGATTACAATCATTGCCGATTTGTTTAGCTTAAAGAGTGTGTAAGTATAGGTTAAAGTTATATGTATTCTTAATCCTCAAGGGGAAATAGGAAATCGAGGGTCTTTTATGCGGTACGTGACATTGTCGACGAATAAGGTGGTAGTTGTGGTACATCTCATTTGCTAGTTGATACATTGTGCAAAGTTATACAAGAATATTTCATAGCTTTAGGCATTTATATATTCGTCTACTGTAATACAATTTCTTTTTTTTTAATTAAAATTAAGAACTGATAGAGCAACTTAGAAAACTGCTATGACTTGAAATATATGTTAATGGTTATGGTAATTAATATACTTTTGACTTTTAAGTAATTAAAGTTCCTCATTCAGCTTAATAACATACTCTTAGCATGCATACTAAATTCCCTTTAAATTGGAAAGATTTAATTTATGCTGATTTAACTGAAATCATCACATTTTATTCGTGTATTTTATTCATATTATATTCATGATATACGTACTTATTTATTTATAAGCATTTCTACAAATCAAATTATTATTAAGGGAAAATAAGCCAAAGCGATCGAAAATCTTACAATTAAATTATTGGCCGGAGATCATAAAAAGAAGGACAAGTAATTTTTGATATCTTATAGAAAATTTTGACTGGAAACAGTGGTAACAAAATTATGTCTATGTCTATAACCTTTGGTTATCAAGTAATTAATTAAATGTATGGCTGTTGTTAATTTTAGATCGGGCTCTCTACTTGAACTTTGTTCAATAACGATTTTAATAGTTTAAATAAATAATAACGTAAAAAAATAGTATTAGATAATATACTTAAATATTTTAGTCACTTAGTATTTTATAATACAAGTAGTAGGTTTTTTTATGAATGTATCAAAATAATTTGTTGAGATTTTACAAGCCTTTAAAAACAATGTTAACTCAATGAAATATGAGAATTATCAGTTTAGTAATCATTTAAATATAACTTTATAATCAACAAACAGGAATAACATTGCAACAAACAGAAATATCATTAAGTTTTCATAAAAATACAACTTCATGATTTGCTTCAACCATTTCCTAAGGAAAACAATAAAAAAAACTTATTATACTTGAAAAGGCCAAACTCTAAAAGCTATACATTAATAGAATATTTAACACCAAATAATTATCGACATCTTTAATTAAATTTCATGTTATACATATCTAAATAACATTACATAAGTACTTATAAAACTAATTTATATTACTTCTTGCGATATATTTTAATAATACTAGCCATTTTGCACAATTAAATACTGTACGGTTATTCATTTATATTATCATTCAGGTTAAAATGATTAGCAAAAAATAAACTTTGAAATTGTTGGAATATAACAAAAATTTATCACTGTTGGCTAATATTATTTAGAATTAAAAATATATTAAAGTATTATTAATTTAAAACTGAAAAATACTTATTTTTAAATTAATAACATTTTTATATAATTTTAATTGTTAGGATACAATATAAAAAGCATAATGCAATATGAATTTTCACCATGAATTATTTTAAAAATGATGGATACTCATTTTCATCATATAATTTTAAATAAATTATAATACGCCTTTGCAAGTGGAAAAAAAACGTAATTAAAAAATACACTTTAATAACATTGTTTTTTAGTATTCGGTATAAAATTAATTTATTTTGTTAAAAATTGAATTTAAACTTTCACATCAAGGTAACTTCAAAAAGTTTTAAAATCTTGATTTTTAACAATGAAGGCTATTCTAAAACTTAACACAAAATAACAATGAGTCAAAACCTTTGTACTATCATGTTGGAAAAGGCATTTTAGAATTTCTATTACATCAACCAAATTAAAAAAAAAACAACAGCCGGATAAAAGATAATGTACAAGTATAATATTAAATTAATGTGCCTCCCAGATGACGGTTATACAATACATTCATTAACTTTTTTCACAATTTTATTTCAGAAGCCCATAATAATGATTCTTTTTAAAAGATTGTCTTAACAATACTTCAGTTTTGTATGTTCAACCTTTGATAAAGGATACTAGTTTATTTTCAATGAAAATATCTGTTAGTTTGCATCAAAAATAGCCTCATTGAAATTTCATATGACATCTAGCATTTGGAAATCTTAGGTACATAATTATCACACAATTCGTTAAACTTATAAAAATAAAAATATAATAAAATGGATCTGACAAAAAAAAAGGTTGAAGTTCTAGGGTTACTCTCGGAACATAAATGAGAAACTAGAAAATAATTTATAAATACGATCTGAAACTGTCATATAAAATGATTGATGACAACTATTATTACTATT